GTGGAGCTGGAGTTCCGGGAGTACAGCGGCCCCCGGCTCGACCCGCGGTACCGCGTCCTCATGTTCGAGCACGCCCTGACCGCCGACGAGGCCAACAGGAAGTACAGGTGAGGGGGCAGTGCCCCTCCACCGGTCCTCTCTGGGGACGGGGGTCCGTGACCTGCCCCGGCAGGATCACAGATGGTGCCGGGGGAAAGGCCCCGCGGCAGCTCTGAGGCCTGTGGGGGAGCTGTGTAGAATCACAGGATCATTTTGAATTGTAGAGTTGTTTGGGTTGGAAAAAGCCTCTGAGAACCCTGAGCCCACCCATCCTCCAGCACTGCCAAGGCCACCGCTGACGTGTCCCCAAGTGCAACATCCACACAGCTGTTAAATCCCTCCAGAGCTGGGCACTCTCCCCTGCCCTGGGCAGTGGTGCCAGGCCTGGGGAGTCCTTTTGGAGGCCTATAGTGTTGTGGTTTCTGGAGGAGCTTTTCTGCAGAAGGAGCCAGGGCCTGACCCCTCTCGCCCCCCAACAACAGAGCCCAAAGCTCCTGTTCTTTGCTTCCTGCTCCCGGGGGTTCCCGTCTCTGCGTGGATGTGCTTGGCAGGAGGACGTGTCAGCTGTGTTTGGGGACACAGCCCCCACAGTGCCCCCCTGACTGTCCCCTCTTCTCACAGCTACAAGGGGCTGGTGGCCGAGGCACTGCGGCAGCTGGTGGGGGAGGAGTGCTACCGACAGGACGAGGTGCTGCCCCCAGGGTACTGCACAGGTAACCCCCTGGGCCCTGGGGAGGGGGCTGCCAGCTGGTGGGGGTGTGTCAGGGCCTGATCTGGGAGGTTATTTAGGGTAGAACAAGTCCTGGCTGTTTCTGTCACCCCCTTCCCTGTATTGCTGCCTTCTGTGGCACTTTGGGAGGAAGCTCCTTGAGTCCTCCCGCCACAGGAAGGGGGGGTTTCCTGTGCCTCTGTTCCCTGGCACAGAGTCCCAGCTGGGCCACAGGGGCCCTGAACCCATGTTCCCTAAGTCAGGGGTTCCCAAAGCCTCACTGATCCCTGTTGCCTCTCCACAGATTTCCTGCTGTGGATAAACCGTTCGGGCACAGTGCTGCCTCTCTCCCGCGTTCCGGCGGCTTCCAAGGCTCCCCCAGCCACGTCCCCTGCCGCCATGTCCCTGCGCTCCAGCGTCCTGGCCCTCACCTCGGACTTGCAGGACTTTGCCCCGTTTGCTCCAGAGACGCCCAGCAGCCCCCCAGGCCCCCGGGAGAGCGGCCGGGCCGGGCGGTTCCTGCCCGCGCTCTGCCCGGCCCTGGGGGGCCCCTGCTTCCAGCCCCCCTCGGACTATTACTGTGGGCTGAGCAAGGAGCCATCCCTGGGCAGCCCGGGCAGCTCCACGCTCAGCAGCCCCTCCGAGTGCCTCTCGGCTCCACCGCCGGGCACCCCCGACTGCTCCCCCCGCCTCCGCCGCCTCCTCTTCCCACGCCTCCCCCACCCTCGGCAGATCTGGACCGGCACGACGGCAGCCCACGCGGCCGTACCTGCACGAGCAACAGCTGGCTTCGCGAGGGGAGCAGCCCAGGACGCACCACCGAGGAGGCGGACCAGCCCCCCGCGGTGACGATGCCACGCGCCCCGCCCCTCCACGTGCCGGCCCAGCCCCAAGCGGGGCCCGGGCGAGGGGCCACAGGGCACCGAGGAGATCCAGAGGTACAGCGGGGGGCCCTGTGCCCGGTCCCTTCTGGCACTGCCGCCCTGGCACTGCCTTCGGCTCCCGCCCCCTGCGGCACTTGGCCCCAGCACTGTGGGGCACCTACAGACCCCCGTCCCCACCGCCCCGGGGTGCTGGGAACAGCTGGCCCTGCCACCAGCAGGGTCTGTGGGGGCTTGGAGTGCTGCCCTTCATCCGTCGTGGTTGTGGGGAGCAGGGTCTGTGGGGTGGGGTGGCGCTGGGACGTGGGTGATGCTGTGATGTGGGGTGACACCGCCATCCCTGCTGTCCCCTGTGCAGGGTGGTGCTGTCGGTCAATGACAAGTGGCACTACTGCCAGAACTCCGACATCCTGGTGGGATCCCGCGCCATGAGGGACCGGCACCTGCGGCTGCTGGGATACTGTCTGGTGCAGGTGAGCACTGGGGCCGTGGGGTACGGTGGGTGTTGGGCTGAGAGCTCAGAGCTGGCATCTGATGGGCCTGGAGTTGGGAGCTGGCATCCCCATGGATGGACGGGGTCAGAGCTGGCATGCCCACTGTAAACACGCTAGTCCCTGTGAGGGGAAGCAGGGATGAGGGGAAACGGGGATGACTCATCCTCACAGCTCCTTCTCGCCCTCCCCCACCCCACCCAGGACTTTTTCCATGTGGCTGGAGGCTGACACCAGCTCTGATGGAAAGCAGGGACAAGGGACAGTCAGTCCTGAGCAGCGAGATCTGAACCTGAGGGAGGGGAAGGGGAGGGGGCTCAGCCCAGGCCAGCAGACCAGTGGCAGCATAGGCTGCCAGGGCTCAGGGTGAAATCAGGTGGGGACACACAGGTCCCTCTGCTGTGACTCGTGATCCCATGTGCTGGGGAGAGGGAGGGAGGTTGGACCCTGCCCACCCTGGTGCCCACCCTGGTTCCAGCCCTGGCTGCTCTATGCAGAGCACTGGGGCTGGAGGAGCCCTCGGGCTCCAGCGCAGCCCTCACAGGTGTCTGCAGCTCCCTCAGGAACCTCCAGGTGTTGGTTTAGGGTGTGCAGCTCCCACATGCCTGTTTATGGGTGGTTGTAGCCTGAGGATGGATCTTTCTGAGGTAAACGGCTCAGAAATGAGCCCTCGGTCCTGTTCACTCCTGCACGGCAGAGCTGACCGGAATTACAGCCATTCCCAAAAGCCGTCCCACAGCCGTTCCCAAAGCTCCTCACCCCCGCTGCCGCTGGGCCGTGCCAGCACCAGCTCCTCCTCATTCCACAGCTCAGCAGCCCAGAGCCCCTTGTTTGTGCAGAGCTCTGGAGTCCTGTGACTCTGCTGAGGAATTGCCTGGGAGCTGCCCAGGGCTGGGAGCAGGGCTGGGAGCACGGCCGGGAGCAGGGCTGGGAGCACGGCCGGGAGCAGGGCTGGGAGCACGACCGGGAGCAGGGCCGGCTCTCCCTTGGGCAGCATTTGGGCAGGGCTGGCCATGGCCCCAGAGCAACAGCAGGGCCGAGCCCCCATCACGCTGAGGGGGCTTCCCGATGCCCACCACTGGGCTCCAGCTGGTGCCACAGGCTCTCTGGGATGCCCTTGGCTGTGGAAAGCACAGCAGGGACCCACCTTAAGGGACCTTAAAGCTCATCCAGTCACCCTTTGCCATGGGCAGGGACACCTTCCACTATCCCAGATTGCCCCAAGCCGTGTCCAACCTGGCCTTGGACACTTTCAGGGATCCAGGAGCAGCCACAGCTTCTCTGGGCAGCCTGTGCCAGGGCCTCACCACCCTCACAGCCAAGAATTCCTTCCTAATATCCCATCTATCCCCGCCCTCTGGCAGTGGGATGCCATTCTGTCTTGTCCTTGTCCCCAGTCCCTCTCCAGCTCTCCTGGAGCCCCTTTAGGCCCTGCAAGGGGTTCTCAGGTCTCCCTGTGGAGCCTTCTCTTTTCCAGGTGAACACCCCCAGCTCTCACCTGTATTTCAAGGGGCTCCAGCCCTCAGAGCCTTCCTGATGCTTTATCCCTCCCCTGTTTTGCCAGTGGTTGGAGTGCAAGTCCCAGTGCCCCTCATTCCTGCTCTGTGAGTGCTGGTGGTGCTCTCAGGGCTGTTAGGCCAGCAGAACTTCCAGTTCTCCCAGTACTCCTTCCCCCCTCATGGAGGCTGGAGAGCAGGGCTCGAGATTCCTTCACGAGTGTGCCAGGCTCGTCCTGGCTGCAGTGGGGGCTGGAACTGGGGCCATGGGTGCTCCCTGGGCCTGCCCCTCCCTGCACCCAGTCCAGGGCTGAGCGGGGGTTTGTCAGTGCTTCCCGTGCCCTCCATCCCCTTGGCAGGAGCTGCGCTGGCCTCCTTCCCAGGGGGAGCGTCCCACATCCTGTTCTTCCTCCCACCACCACCCACAGCTGCAGTGGGCTGGGGGCTGGTGGCGCTGGGGGTGCAGGTGGGGCTGGAGCTGGTGTCACTGCTCTGACGTTGTCCCTGTCCCCTGACAGCTGCCCTACACGGAGCTGGAGAAGGTGAGTGGCATCGAGGAGGCCAAGCA